TAATAAAAATAATAAATAACAACAATAATAAGATATATTCAAAGTAGTGAAAGTGATTGAAACTACCACAGATCATAGCTTCTGTGGAAAAGCTGGTCCATAGCAACTTCTTCAGGTGTCCATATCAACAACTGGAAAAAGAAAATACTACAAAAGATCTCAACGCTACAAAGTAACAAGTCTGTTATCCCAAATATTTTTATGTATTCCTCTTCCGGATCTTGTCCTGTTGCAAAGCAAACTAGAAAATTTGCACCAATAATAATATTAATAATTTTAAAAGTTGTATTACTTGTTTTGTTTCTTTAGCACCAGAAGCAACCTACACTATACAGCAAGACTAAAGCACACATAATTTGAGAAAACAAAAAAATAAGAACTATTCAAATACCTATATAGTACTTCATCTCTGTGTCATGTTTGTTCATAAGCTCAAGCAGTCGCACTTCAATCTGGGCCTGGTTTAAGAAAGCCTTCTTGTTTTTTATTATTTTGATAGCCACCCACTCCTGTTCCACTCGATCATAAGCCTTTACAACCTGAAAGAGAAAAGTCATATACATCGGTAAAATCTCTCAGGTTTTCAAAATAAAGCAAAACTCACTTTGCTTTCTGAATTCAGAGAAACCATTTTTAGAACTTTTGTTCTTGCTAGTTAAATTTCTTTTATTTCTTCTCCTACTTGATACTACAGTAAAGCCATAATAAATTACGTGATAATCGCAGTGATGTCACAAAATAGAACTGAGGCTCCACTGAGATTCATTGACGCAAGCATTATGTCCAAATGCAATTATCAAATCATCAAACACAATACTGCAAAACAACTGGCAAAATCTGAGAAAAACTAGCAAAAGGAACAAAAGAAAAGTTGCATCCTGCTTCCAGCCTTTTTCTCAAGCATTGGCCACAGCTACGAACAGTCAAAACAAATGTTAGTAAGTAACATTTATAATAGGTAATCCCTAGCACTAGGCTATTGTTTTAATTTAAAACTCCAAACCGAACAGCTAAAAATGTGAACTGATAGAAAAAGGGTGAGGAGTTGCTCACTGAAAATGCTTTACCAGATATACATAATGAAGTATATTCAAATGTTATCTGTAATAACAAGAACCAGCACAAAATGTGTCTCCAGCAGGCACTCCGTGTAATAGGATTAAGAGTTTGATTTCAAAACGAACAGGAACAGCACTTCAAATGAAATGCATTCACATGAATTACAGGTTGCTCAGCTGATACACATTACCTGTCCAAAGGATCCTTTGCCTATTAAAGAGTCAATTTCATAACGATCCATCCACTTCTCCCCATTTTTTACAATATAGTCATAGTTGTCATCATCATAGCCATCATTGTAAACTTTTCTCTCCTTTTTGTGACTGGAATCTTCTCCTTGGCCCTGCTGATGCCGCCGTTTTTTTTTTGCATAGTAAACCTAAATGTGAAAAGTATGTTACTTAAGGGCACTTTTTACAACATTGGCACAACAAAGAATAGGATAAGCTTTTATAATTATCATACCTAATCCTGTGATTTTAAAATGCAACATCTACTACTGGAAAAACAATCTTCTCCTGCTACCTGTCTATTTGAACTCAAGACATAATACCAAAGCAAAGTCCTGATGAATAATTTTAAAACTCAGAAAGGAGATCTAAATAAAGATCAGTGTACTAAGAACACTGATCCCTAGAGTTCGTAAGTGCAAAAAGAAAAGATACATATTCACACAGCAAAATTAAAATCTCTAAGTAGCCTGGAAATGAGTTATCAGTTGCTTTTCCACAAGACTGGCAAAGAATTCCAAGGACATCGGTAATCACTGCAGAATTCCCTTCACATTCCCTACAATTTCCAAGGAGTTAGAAACTATATTAATCCCACCATTTTTATACTTTACATTTGCCAATAATGTTTAATTATTTGGGGTATTTAACTTTAATATTTTTCTTACAAGTCCTTAGACACATTCATAAAGGTTTATAACATGAGCTAGAAGAGTATTTCCTTATCATGCAACAGAAAAACTCAGCATTTGTTTATAAAACAAGGGAAGACAAATTCAAGGATAAAATATTTCCTATGTGCTGGACAGAAAGCAGGATAATAATGACTTCAGCGATCTCCAATGAGATGTGAACACAGAGAAAGCTTGATTTCCTTATGTCTTCATGAGATAATTCACAGAAAATATATTTAATGATGTATTGTAAGCAAAACCTTCATATCGATACACATTACAAAAATAGCTGGAGACATTACCTCATTAATATGCTTGTATGTTTTGATCAAATCTACGGAGAGTTTCCTCAACGGAGCAGTGGCTGGATCTCGGAAAGTTTGGGGCATCCGCCTCTGTAATATGACCATATCATAATTTAGAAAACAATACTCTTCACAGAAATGAGTTATTTCATTGCAACATTTCTTCTTCAAGCTAACATTAAAAAAAGAAAAACTAATACAGGAATCAAAAGAAATTAACAGTTACTTTTTAATGTATTTAGTTAGTAAAAAAGAAAGAAATCCCAAGATTCCTGTCTCTCCTCCATTACGCCTGACAGGCTTAATCTCAATAAACAGTTTTTCTCTTGGTTAAAAATACAACTCTCTTGTTGAAAATCTTGCTGACACTACTCCTCTATCTCATGACTGATACATGAACTGTAACCATATTTCATGTATGGCTGCATCAAAACCACAAACAGAAGTTAACAGTAATAACTACGGCAGAACTGTGGCAGTTTGCCACATTTAAACTATATGAAATTCCAAATCAAAACACCTCGGGCCTACCGTGCTCTATAATATCAAGGCCTAAATCTAAATCTAAGACCCAAAGAAAATCTGAAGAAATCTAAAGAATGCACATGAACACTATACCTACTTCCAAAGGTTTAAAACAACACCCCTGAAGAGGTAGTTATGTTCCTCATCTGTGTTTCCTACAATTGACTATGTTAGAAGAAAGTATCTTCAATAGCACGCTATTTTTTTAGTTGTTTTCCTGAAGAAACAAGACTTGTGTGTGATAAAGCTGCTGGTGTGCTTCTTTTTCTTTGCACACATATGCCATGTAATTTCTGCATCTACCAAGCAACTTCTATTTCTCCATAAGATTTGTTTGAAATCTCAGAAGATAAAGTTCCTGAAAAGATAAAGTTCCATGTGGCAAGCTGGAGGCGAGTAGCAGACCCAGTAAAGAGAAGGCAGAAACCATTTCGTTTGGCTAAACCTGACTACCTCCTCAGAGGATGCTTTACTTAACAGCACAACTGTAGTATCAGACAACTCCTCTGTCTCACCCAGTGTCAGGGATGGGGAGGGGTGGGGATGTGGGGACAGTGGGGAGCTAGGAGACAGAGGTGAGGTTAGTGTGACTGGTCCCCTAGCCTACATCTTTATTCCCTCTCTTCCCAATGACAGAAAACCACACGGCATGTTTAATCAATTCCACTAGAGAAAAGCTTGCTTCATTCACTGTGAGGGTGGTGAGACACTGGAACAGATTGTCCAGAGAAGCTGTGGCTGCCCCATCCCTGGCCGGGTTCAAGGACCGGCTGAATGGGGCTTGGAGCAACCTGGTCTAGTGGAAAGTGTCTCTGCCCATGGCAGGGGTTTGGAACTAGATGATCTTTAAGGTCCCTTCTAAACAAAACCATGCTATGATTCTATGTATGGTAGAACTTCCTCTATTTCTTTACTCACTATTAAGAGGGTTAGGTAACTGAGCACTACCACATTCTGCCTTACAGCTCTCATCTCATGCCATCAAATATGCTGACACTCCTAACTCTTCACTTCTAAATGTTTCATCTTATCTGCTGCCCCCTCCTACAGCCAAATACTGATATGCAACCTCCTACAAAGCTGAGGAAAAATCATAAACCATCAACAAAGATAATGAAACTGATGTTTATATTAGCATTGCTGAACTAATTAATCAACCAGAAGAGTGTAATTGCTCCTCTGTCTTTTATGGTGTCACTTAGTACGTACGAAAGTGGCTGTGCAAATACCTCTTTTGTTGGTGGGGTTTTTTTCCCCTTTTTCTGCTTAATGACCAATTAAAAAAAAAAAAAAAAACACAATGAAGTGACCCAAAGTAGTTCTTACAAACAGAAGCAATAAAAAAATTGTGCTTCTGAAACTGGACGTGGACTCAGGTACCCAAGCAACCATACTAGAAAGCTAAACTCACGCTCTCCTCCAGTGGAAGCACAGACCGCATGGGGGTAAAAAGCTAAAGCAGCGAGCAAGACAGAGGATGAACAAGTGATAGAGCTAAAGACAGAGGGGGAAGGCAAGACACCTGCAGTCAGCTTACTGCATCTGTGTGAAGCTGAGACTCCCAACAGGTACAAAGCCAAATGCTCCCGGGCAATACCAATTCAAAGCTTTGATGCATCCTTCTCCATATACGCCCATATAACATTTTTACACCCCTACAAAACTGCTGACTTGTGGTCTTTTAGATTAGAGAATGTTTCTCAGACACAACATGATACAGTTAAACTTCCCTCCATGAATTCTAATCCAAGTCATGCCCTAGGTATCTGTTCCTGTCAATTCACCTTTGGATGTGACCACTGCCATCAATTTCCCCCAAACACATTTACTAAATTCATTTCTTGATTCTTTTATTATTACAAGTATGGCCATTTCGTAAACATCAGGGAAGTCTGTTTTAAAGTTTCATAACAAACTAATTGACATTTACAAAACATTTTTGTTTCTTCTTTCATCTGTTACCTGTCAAACAAATGTGAACCATTAAACAAATCATACCTAAACCTGATCTCTTTTGGTTCTCTCCCACAGCACTAAACAGCATCTCGTCCTAATCCCAACTGTCACTGTTAAAGGCTTTTCATATGCAAGTATTTCCCTTAAATTTCTTAATCTGACTTAAAGAGATTATTGGGACATTGGTAGATTTTGCTGGTAGAAGAAACCATGCTGCAGTGCACCAGTACTGGGAGGGACCAGTCTCCACCCTAGGCTGACATGACCAGCACAGGGTGTCTGTTACACAGGCTGCAAGTTTTCAGGAAAGAGTCTCAGTGTGGAGTAACTCCATTGCTTGGATCAACTACTCAGACATCAGGTTGCTCTGATTTGGAAATTCAATTTGTAGGACAAGCATTCATGTTTATTTTCCAATTTGTAAGTGAAATTTGTCTGCCTACTTAAAAAAAAAAACATTCTAATTTAAACTCTGAAATAAGCAGCCTGGTAAAAAAATAAAAATAAAAAAAAAATGTGCTGCTGTTCCCTAATCCGAAGTACTCAAAGTTCTCCAGGCTACCCCTATGTTGCTTGCAGCCAGTACCTTGTTTGAAAACTGTGCTTTTAATTATGCATTTACACACACACATTTCTGAAGACACACTTTATAACCTGTACAAACTTTTTTAACGGGTACTATTTTGCTCTCCTGGGTTCATAAAGTTTTGGGTGGGGGAAAAGAAAGAACTGACCTTTCCTTCCTCCCCCTGTTATATCGCAAAATTTGTAACATTCTCCTGTTTTTCCAAGATCCTTTAGAAGTCTCTTGTTCCTTTCTTCCAGGTGGAAGACGATGGAACAAAGTGGTCATTACCCATTTTATACGTTAACACACTCAAATTCTTTATCACTGGGGTTATGCTGATTTCCCTCTTGGCTTCAAAGAAAGCTCAACCACAACAGGGGAAATAAAAAGGTGTGTGTCTGGGGGAATTGAAAGAAGAAGAAAAATCCTACTGCACAAGCTTCAGTCTCTATCTGGTGGCCAGACAGCAACACTGCAACCTCAGATTTTCCTAAAGATATGCTTGTATTTCAAGAGTGAGAGACAAGAAACTACTTTCCTTACAATTATATATGACAGTAAATACCCATCACATTCTGACTGGTCCACACTTAGGCCTCAGAGGAAACAGCACAGTTACCTGGGATGGTACCATGATGAAGGTTACGAGTGAAGAACTGAAATTTGATTTTCTCACCTATTAACCACACAGCACATAGTGCTGAGAAGCAACCTGTAACTAGTATAAACAAAGAAGAATCAAATAAACAGAAAAAAGGGCAATCAACAGCCCATTCAACTCATTTGAAAATGTGTTTTAAGGTAACCATTACTTTAACTCAGGTATATTATTTTAACTAGCAGAGTCGATGCAGTTTAATGACTGAAGAAATAGACAACAAACATATTTCTCTCTCTTTTGATACACTTCATTATCTAAAAACCAGATGGCACTGTTCCTTACTAAATGCATTTTACTTTGACTACAGGAAATTCTAAGCACATATATATTCTGTTAATGGAATGCTTTAATTCAGGTTTTATTTTTAAAAAGAAAGATCTATCACCACCTACATTCATTAAAAAAAAAAAAAGAAATTCTGCTTGCATACAGTACATGTTCCATATTACAAACAGAATAAATAATGAAGATTTTACACCGTAAGGGTAACTTTTATCAAGAATGAAGTTGCAATAATCTACTTAATAGACTTCCATATTGAAGAACTAAATGGACCAAACTCATCTCCTATGTCCCTTGCTATTCAAAACCCTTCTTGCGTCACAATAATATAGGATAGGAAGTCAACACTAATTCCATATGGTGGTGAGCAGCCACATAATAGATGATGTCTCCAGAGGGTCAACAAAACAGATGTTTAGTTTCTATAACCACAAGCCACAGTAACACTTCCCATAATACACAGTTAACTTCAGATTTTCAGAAAAATGGCCAACGAGAAAAAAGCATCTGTGCCAGAGAACAAAAGATAAATCCAGGACTATTCTTCAAACTAACTGTTCTCAGAGCCAGAACTGCATGGAGGTAGGGACAGAATTTCAGTCCAATCATTTTAATCACTGCCTTGTGTTCTATGAATATTTCCCTCCTAGCCCAGCTTCCTTCCCCAAATAAATAAGGTTGCTGAATAAAAGTAAGAAAGAGGCAAGTTTAAAATTAAATAAATAAACAAAAATAGCAAAAAAAAGAAGGGTCATCTGCCAAGATTTTATCCTATCTGATTCAGCCTAATTATTTTAAAAAGGAGTAGTGGAGAGTAAGACAAAGGGAATGAAAAACCCCACTCTGAAATTCTTATTGCCAGAGGATATATATACTTTTCTAAAAAATATCTGAAACAGATGGAAAGTGAAAGAAATACTTTTACTGAAATGAATTGCATGCTTACATTCACAGCAGACACTGGTGAAGTCTGACCATCACTAATAATAATGTTGCTGATTAGGTAGCTGTAGTAACTGAACTGAAGGATTTGCTACTGCCTGCTACAACACATTGACTTTGCAATCAATAAAATCTCTGGCCAGCATCTGGCCAGTAAAACCTAGAATTCTGCAGGTGATAAATGATCTTAGATACATACAGAGATAGATGTTTAGCAGTCAGTCTGACCTTTGAATTGCAGGTACTTTGTGAAAGCTAAATTGCTGGAATTTGTTACCAAAATCTGGCCAGGAATCTCACCTCAACTTCTTTATTAGGTAAATCAATTCTCTAGCCTTTTGTACTTAACTTAAAAAAGTGTCAGACAGTCTGAGTTTCCAAGATGAACACCAGCAGAGCCCAAAAGAAATGCTTGTTTGAAGTTGTGAAAACTTTTAAGCTCTTATCTTATATTCACATCAGGCCACGGTGAACTCTCAAGATGCAAACAGTTGAAACTGGACAAAGAAATATTACTGTTTGTTACTGCTAAAGGAGAAAGGTCCCACAGATCTCATCTTTTCTACTCACTACAGGCCACATGCTCTTACTGCTTTCCTGAAACTGTCTGACACTCATCAGAGAGGTAAGACCACACAATGAAGAGCAGGACCCCATCCTGCCAGCAGGCTCAGCACTTGGTGAATCACAGACTTAAAGTAAACACAATCCAGCAGTTTTCAGGAAACAAAAGCCTTAAACCTAACTACTGAAGAAAAAATAAAAATAATAAAAAAGGACAGAGCTGGAAGTTTTTAACTGTAATTTAAGACCTCATAACTAAGTGAAAAACAAAGTAATCATCTGGCCAGCTTTTAAGTATCTTCCCAGTATTTGTTCCTTGCCAATGATGAGATGAGGTTTTGGTGACCGTAGCCATAAAGCAATAGGTGCAAGAGAATATTATGTAAATAATATTTTAAGGGTAACGTGTAATATAAATACACATAATTTATACAACTTTAATATAAATTGTCATTGCTGTTTCCTGAGCTTTAATCTGCAATTGTGAGTGATTCATAAAATACCAGAATATGGTCTGCAAGCCATTAAAAATAAAAAAACCAAGCAGGACAGAGCAGGAATAAAAACAATAAATTAACATTCAAGGCCCAGCTTCCCCATTATTTGGTTATGAATGAAAATCATTACAGGAACTTGAACAAGACAACACTCCTCCAAAAAGGGAGTCAGTCCTCACTAAAAAGAAAGCCACAAAAATAACCTGAAAAAACATACTAGGGCAGATCATCTTTGCTATTTATTAAAATGACATTGTTTACAGAAAATGCTGCTGTTCTACATGCTAAAACTTAACAGCTCCTCTTAGCAATTGACAAGCAGTATCCTTGTGTATCTTACTTCAGCCTAAAGAAATTTACTTTCAGAAAGGAACTACTTGCTATCTATTCTTCCTATAAAACTCCAGCATCCCAAAAGCTGACATTTCATCCTGGCTTTTATTTTCAAACAAATCACTTTTGCCTGGCTTTGGACAAAATACTCTGTTTCAAAGTTCAGCAAAAGTAACAAATGAGAAAGTAACCTTTCTAGCATTTGTATTCTCAGCTCCTTCGATGGGAGATCCACTCTAAGATAGTAAGTTTAATAACTTGCTGCTCAGCAAGTTATTAAACAGCGGAGAGTCTACTGAACGATGGAATATTGAGAAGAGGAGGAGAGGCTGGCTTTCCTAGCCAAAGGCGGTTTGCCGAAGCAGAGCACCGCCTTGCAACGAGGCAGGCAATGCAGTGCAGCGCTCTGGCCGGCAGATGGTGGCTGGAGCTCGGGAAAGAATTTTGCCTGGCGCTCCCGGCATAACGACCGCCAACCCCGGGAGCCTCCCTGCCCGCTTCACTGACCCACCGTCCGGCCACTGAATCGACAAGGAGCACTCTCGGGAGCAAAGGGGCTGGCGACTCGCTGCTAATCAACTGTTGGACGCTTGCACCCTACCAATGGGCTACTTCTACACTGTGGAAACCAGTGGCACCGAAGATGACCCAATGGTCTAAGTTGCTGATGACCACCACTGCACTAGGAAATCTGAGAAACTGAAGCTCAGAGACCTAACTTCTTGTCTGTTTGGATGCAAAGCACTGCATTAAAAGGACCTACCCTTTAAGAATTGCACTTCTTGCATCCACCAAAAGTTACCTTTTTCCTCCTCCCGGTTTTCATGGCTATATTAGATAAATCTATAAAGCTTTCTACAACAGACATTCAGCCCATTCTTTTTTGCTGCCCCAGTTAAAAACATGATCTTAAATTATATATACTTGAAAACACAGGAGTATGTCACCTTATGTGACTGAAGAGAGGTTGCCATTACTAAAAGTTTAGTTTGATGTCAGAAGCTTTAGTAAACAGAGAAGCACGTAAGGGAAAGAGCTAGTGGTGAGGTTCCAACAGAGGAATAAACCAACTGCATGAGGACAGCTCAGAAAATGATCTCTGCAAGAATTTTTCAAAACTGACGTATACAGGACAGAACTGCTTTTATCAAGGACAAGTTGCAGCACATTCAAGGCAATACCCTGAATAAAAAGGATTCCTGTAGAAATGTCATAAAGAAAGAATCTGTAAGATGTATGTATCATTTAGACATGAAAACCGAGACGGTATGCAGATTACAGCTGGAGTGGAAGGTAAGATGGTAGTCCACAGCAATGGCGAAATGGAACACAGAACAAAGCCTTCAACAATAGAGGGTCATGTCTTTTATAAGAAGAAAAACTGTAAGAGTTATGTTTTAATCAAGATGAACTAGAGCTGACAAAAGGGCTATTGAAAGAGAAAGAATAAGAAAAAGTTTTTGCACAGAGACAAGGACTAGAGCAGATGATCTGACTTTCTACCATAGAGATGTTAGCTGTATTTGGTTTTGCAGATCAGATTAACCTGTGCAGAGGCAAAAAGCCATTGAGACTCCCCAGCAGAGGCTCATACAGAACCTCCATACCAGCCTGGAGAACTCTTTACGGGCCTTGCTGATGGGAAAAGCACAAGAACTCAAAGGAGGAAAGAGTCACTTAAGCCAGAAGACTTCAAAAAGTTGACCACCACCAAAGTCAAGGGTCCTGAAAGCAGCTCACAAAGGATGAAGGAATAACAATTCTGAGCTGCGTAGGCAGAGAACTATTAAGACTGCAACACAATTACAGTAAAATAAGAAGACAGAAGCTATAATGCAGAAAAAACAAAACAGAACTGGAAAAGACTTAGTGGTGCAAAGACAGCTTGATTGCCGTTATCAAGGTGGCCAGCTGATCATTTCCTCATATGGATAACTTCCCAGATCCAACCACAGCTTTTTCGCTACAGTCACATCCTCATTTCAGTGGGTTGCCTTCTTTGGTCAACAACTCTTGGCTACTCTCCAAAAACTATTCTTCAGCTTTCTATTATTCAGCTACCATTTTAAAGTCATTGTGACAACAAACAGCAATGGATGGTGTTATGTCCTGAAGTTCCTTGATTTTGCTGTTTGGTTTGAAAACACGAACAACTAAGCACTGATGTACACTAAAGCTCACAAACGCAATGCCAGATCATAGTGCTCAGGTAAGCACCTTGAAGGGTTTAAGGAACACAGTAACTTTTCTTAACTGGCTAACTGATTCCCTAACCTCATTCTGGAGGTTTTAGGGAACCTTTAACCTAAAAAAAGTCACACAAAATACCTCTGTAGATTTCTCAAGCTAAATACTAGTATATATGAGCAAATTCACTCTTCCCACTGAGTGGCTCTCATGAAAGCAAAAAGCTTTCTTTGCCAGCCTTCACAGAGCCCTCCCTAGTCATTACAGATCTCCAAATCCTAGTATCAAATATCCTGGTACTTAGTTTGACCATTCTCATCCTCTCTAATCCTTCCCTCTTTCTGCGTAAGTGCCCTCCTATAGAGCAATACCAACAGAGTATCTCTTGGTGGTACTGTAGATTTATCTACTGAAGCCATCTGGAATACAAGGAATAGACCTGAATCTGCTAGCAGCAAAGGCATCACTCTCCATCCTCTTTAAGTGGAACATGCCTTATCAGCCTGCACCAAATTTTGAAGCTCTGACTTAGAAACTTCTGGATTTTAAAGCTTTGAAATGTATCTGACTTCACATCTTCACAACTGAGCTGTGCCATTTTTAAGAAAGCAACAGAATAATCTTGTACACAGGACAATACTACTTCAGCAGTTCTAGCAAAAAAAAAAGCAGCACAGAAGAAACGCTAATCCTGACAGCTCAAAAGCATCCATGATCACCATAATCCCTGTGTTCATTTTACCTCCTTGCAATACTAAGAGTAAATTAGTAGTAGTAAAACCCCTATGATCACATAGCTTCAGATTTTGCTTTTTCTTTCAAATACGGCTTATCTTCCTTAATAAAATATTCTATTTCAAATACACTAAACAGTGACTCTGCTTTGAAACACTGTCCATTAGAGTAAGTAATAAACAATCACATTCTAACATCAAACAGTCCTAAAAGAAAAAGCAACCTACCAAAAAATATTATTAAACTCTCTTTCCAACTTTCCATTTGGACTACCTTTCTCCCCTCTCATTTAAAAAATGTTAGAAGTAGAATAATCACAATAAATATGGACCAGAAACTTATTCATCCATCCATCCTTGAAGAGTCAAGACTTAATTAGTTTTTTTTAAAAAACAAAACCAAAAACCAAACATAAAAAAATGCACCAAAACAAACCACAAAAATATATGCCCTGATCCTGTAACTTGTAAGTATATAATGTATTTAGAGAAAGAAATGTTACATCTGAAATTACTTTTTTTGTTATCACTTACCTGGTTTGTTAACGTTAGAGGTTGCTGAATCTGGTCAGCATATGATAAGGCAGAAACCTGTTGGTCATTTATGTTCTGCTGACGACGATCACTGTACTGCTGATGCGAATGGGACATCTGTCCAGCCATCTGAAGGCCAGCAGCATGGAATGAAAACGATGGTGCAAGCCGAACAGATGAAGGTTTGCATGCTGAAGTCTCTCCTCCTGCAAAGACAATGGGAGTTTTTAATGAAGTTAATGGCTTGAAAATACCTACCTCATCAGCCTCCCTCTCCTAGCTTACAGAGCTTATAAACACTAATAGTCTCACTGTTTCAACATACCCAAGTTTTCATGCACAACAAATCCAGAAATCATCCTCATGTAAATATTACCTAGCTGAAATGCTTCTTCCCATTTCATTGTGATTATTTATTAATCATTTATTCCTATTTATCCCTTTCCTAACATCTGTGTCATAACTCAGAATTTGAATCTTTTCAAAGGTAAGTATTTTGTGGATGGATTCCATTAAAGCCAGAAAAAACACACAAGTTCCGCCTTTCAAGGTTGCTCACAGCAACTTTCTGGAATGCCTGTACCAAAAGAAAAGAAAAGCTGGTGCCTAGCCTCAGCAGCTCACCTTCCCTGGCCTCAAATGTTTGTCTTCCAACAAACTGCTTAGCTCGCTAGCCTCCACTGCCTACATTTTTAACTTCCACCTTTCTTCCAACGCACACTGTACTCCTAACTCAGCTTCTTGACTCCTACTGCTGAGTTTTATCAAGCTACAGGTAGCAAGCCCTGTTAACTTGAATTAATTCCTTTTTGGGAAGGTGATATTAGACTGCAAGAAGCAACTTCAAAGTAAGAGACAAACAAAACACTTGGTGCCAAGTTGCAGAAGAACGGCAAACAATATAGCCATAGTACTAGATTCCATGACATCCTGAAAAATGCCAAATTCCACAGGCACAGAATCTGCCGCTAACTGGGACAGATCCTGCACCTTTCAGCTCTTGTTTCAGACATCTGTCAGATGACATTTCATTGGTTCATAGTCTACTTGTATCTTCATTTCTCCTCTAACAGTGGAGGACAGAGTAAAGTTCAATTTGGTTTTGTTCGTTAGTGGAAGTTTAGCCCATTCCACATTTAACATACATCCTGTTGGCTTTTGATAACTATCCCAGAGGGAGGACATTCTCTACATGGTTGCCATGCTGGTACAACGTAAGACAGAGCAGGATGGGACAAGCAGTCAGGAACACTGAATCCAACACTGCCACTGAAGGAATACATGCGGAATGAGAAGCTGAAATCTGGAAGCACAGTTACTGATAAAGACTAAATTTAGAATCAAGATGTGAAATAATCAAGCACGTAACCAGCAAGGGAGATCCCCATTTCCTTTATGATCTAAACCTTGCAAGAAAATAAAATCAGCAGAAAACAGAAGATAAACACCACCCATCAATTTAACTTTTGACTTTTCACTATTACATGAAAAGGGCTGAAGTAAAACTGTATGATGAAATACCCACTGACAGACCACTGTTACAATTCAGTACTTCTAAAAGACTAACAGAACAAACTGCTCCAGAAAATGAACTGGTTGCCCACAAGCACCCACATATTTTCACAATATTTCATTAAATCTTCAAACATTTTACTTAAAAGGGAAAAAAAAATAAATAAAGGGGGGAGGGGCAGGGACAGAAAACCCAAACCCAAACCTTCAAGAAATAACTATGATAGATGAAAACTTTTTTTGTGTGTATTATGGTGCCTCTGGTGACATGATGAAGTACCAAGATAACCTTACAGATGGCAAAAAAGAAATTCCTGACCTAAAAACATTAAAAGCTAAGTCAACTTAACACTGCACAGAAAATTACTCTAATTCTTCCATAAAACATCCAGTAAAAACTGCTTTGTGATTTTTAATGCAAATACAGATCCTAGTAAGCTCTGAAACTGTCCTCCAGTATTTAAAGATACAGTGAAAATATCAGTTAAATGTCTGAGTGTAAACTTTAAAAAATACTTGCATCTTTTTTCATGTTTCCAAGTAGCATCTTATGTTCACCTATGAATTGAGCAACAGATTGTTGCCTTCTTTTTGAAATCTAAAATTATGTAATACGAAATTCACAAGTTCACATTTAAATACAGGGGGAAAATATGTGCAAAGATTCTAATGCATCAACTATCTCTCTCAAAGATACCATGGTTCCTTTATGTATTAATACATCTGTCAGATCACGTGGAAACTGTGTGTATATATATTCTCACTACTGTATTTTCTTAATATCTAAACTCCATTTTACTAAACAATTAATCATCCACCTATACAACTTGGTAAATTTCATGTACGTTTACTTTTCAAGACATACTCAACACTCCTGTAAGAATGGGTGAACACATGTAAGACAGTTGCTGGTATGTCTACTTCTTGCTTTTTTAATTTCTGCCTATTTTCTGCTTAACCTGAAAAACAAATAATCTCACTTAGCAACATCATGGTGATTGAAAAGTCAAATCAGTATTTAAACTGAACAGTCAAAAAATACCATTAATTCTAAACTGTTGAGCCACTTACTTTAAAAGTTTTATTTCTCGCCCTTTCTTTTTCACCCCAGGCCACAGTTTCCCAATAGCATACAAGATAGCAAACAAGCTTGGTATCTTAATCAAAATAATTAAAAAAAAATAAAATACTCTGCACTTGCACATGTCCCTAAAAAAGCAGAAAGCTCCCATATATGCACACAGAAATGCCAGTAGCAGGGAGTTCTCATTTACAATTTGACTTCACAGGACTACGAGTATAATTATCCCACAAAAGAACAGTTGTAATACCAACGTTTCAGCTCAACTTGCAACTTTCCACTCTTGCACCCTCTTTCTCTACCAAGCCCACTAGCGGGACTATACGGCTGTAGCTTTCCTGGTCTTCCGAACTGACGATGGTCAGCTAGACCAACCACCATGCCTCAGAAATGAGAGCTTTGTAATTTGTAACAAGGCATCTGGACTGCAGAATCACAATGAAAGCTTCTGTAAGAACCCCAGTTTGACAAATAACTTACTTTATTCATACAACTTTTTTTTTGTTTCTTGAGATTTAGTGTTTGTGCTTAACAAGCCGTTACCTATGTGCTTGGAGGGAAGTCACAGACAACCTATGACGTCAACAGACATAAATCACAACTGTACCCAACAAGAAGCTTGTTCTAAACCATTGCTTTGGTTTCACAGAGCAGCGTTGAATCTCAAAAAAAGGGACATTATTTAACACAAGAGCCTGATCAGAGTCGCATGCAGTGAAGTCTGTTACAAGTAGGTGGATAGAAATTGGCTACCTCATATAGCATGTTCTTATACCAAACAGAATGGCATTTTAATAGTCTTTCTGAAAATGGGGGTATCAACCCTCAATTATGTTAGCAGTAAGCAAGAACTACCTGGGTCAAAAGTTTAGAACTGTAACTACAAGGCTCCAAAAGATCAGTAGCCAAGTAATTTTCACATTTATGACTTCTGACTGTCACTGAAATGGAGACACAGGAGTTCACAGTCTTCTGTTGCCAAAAGCAATCTTAACCATCAACAAAAACAAGTAGTGTTCAGGATATAGTCCCTGATGAAATACTTGCCCTTGCCACATTTCAGACTTTGTTCTGTGATACCTGCAATCCTACCCCAGGACATCTAATCCCAAGAGAACATTCATAACTTGAGCCAAGAAATACCTAATGACACATTAGGAAGAAATGAGGGGAGAAAGAAGAATTGGCTAGAATAGCAATCTTGACCTCCTTTCGTTTTAGGTTGAGGAGTCAGTCAGCTATAGAAATAGGAACATTTGTGTATATCCATTAAGTGATACTCATTCACAAAACTGCTGGTAGCTGAAGTTAATTGGGAGGGCCAATAGATCAAAAAAGCGATCTACTGACCACCATGGGAGTTCCAAAATCCACTGGAGCTCGATGCCGCACCACATCTGTAACTTCTACAGGACAAAACTATCTAAGGAACAAGGTCTGCTCAGTCATCAATCTTCCTTTCTAACCTCTGTAAATTCAAATTACTACATGTTGTGAAGTACCCTGGGAAGGAAACAAAGTGACGGAAGACAAAAAGTATGTCAAGATCTCTATGCGTGATCTACATTAAGGGAAGAGATTACAGGTTGGAATGGGTAAATAATCTTACAAATAGGCCTTTCCTAATGTGTTAGTTCAGAGAATGGCAATAAACACCTTTATGCATTATTGTAACCTCTAACAACCTGAACTACAAATAACATTTGCCTGTCATGAGACTAAATCAAAACTTGTCATAAAGAAGGTCCAGCTACAGAAAACATCTCTTATTTCAGCCTTGAGAATTTCCTTTTTCTCCTACATTCATGAATGTAACAGCTCTTCTGAAGTTAAGCTGTTGAGAATCTTCTACTTCATTAGTGACATTGCATACACAGTAATATAAGCAAAATGTAAATGGTAGCAATAGTAACTTCTTGGCTTTTGTAAATTTACTGTCTCAGGAAAGTTAACAAGTGAGGAAGAAGTCAGCATTAATAAAATGCTACATTACTGTTTGAACAAACTGCTGTTAACTACAACCAGAAGAAAATGTTTAAAAGGGGACCAACAGCATAGATGTGATGATAGAAAAAACTTAATTAACTTCAAGTTAGGTTCATAACTCAGAACTATCTGAAAATACAGACGCTGCAAAAATGGATTGCCCTAACATATGGAAGGAGGTAGGGTTTATTTCTTTAAAGTAACAACACAGCGGAAGAGCACAAGTTCAAGAATATATTTCTTTATTAGGTGAGGATGGAAAATACTTCCCTCATTCAAAATAGCTTTGTTTTAAATGACTTTTCCAAGCACCAAAGATATTTGTATTTTGGAGTAGAAAAATACTTGAGATGACACTTATTGAACAGTCTACAAATGAACTACAGATGGTTTAATATAGGAAAAAATTTGGTATAACTTTGCACAGATTTTCAAAAACTCAATGCAGTTTCAAACTTCAATTCCCCACCTCATCCATTTTAGATTCTGTTATTCCCATTTTGACATTAGTCTACATAACTCATTTAGACCTCACCTCCTCCCAAAATATCATAAGGTAAGCAAGAGATGCAACGCATTGCTGGCCTTCTCCTTTCAACATAAAGCAAGGCACAGATACTCACCAACTGACAGTAAAGAGTTGCTGGTGACCATGTGCCACCCTGAGAGTGGATTGCTCTTTTTGAAAAAAACTGTGGTCATTCCAATTTAGTACCTAAAGAAACAAA